GATGAGACCTGGTTTGATATAATATTGTAGCCATGCAAGAAATTACCCTTATTTCATATTAAAACTACATTCAATACTATTTGATGTGCTTCATTGACTTGCCTTAACCTTTGTCCTTAAAAAAGTGTCTTGATGTTTTCAAAGCTGTTTGTTCAGTTTGTTCAGTTATTTTGGTTTTCCTACTATTCATGTTTATTTTCTTATCTGTAACTGCATTACAAATTAAACTAGCTCTTTACTTTCAAGATTATTTCTCTGTATTTATCTTAAATCTTAACTGGTTTAGGTATGCATTTATTTTTTTACTTGTTATATACTCATTCTGGTGTGAAATTAGTAGAGATTCCAATTTAGAATGTGGACTATTGTGTTTTTATTTCATTTGCTGACACCGTTTTCATATGTTTCAGGTATATGGCTCACTTGAAAGAGATGATGAGGTAAATGTGTGTGTTACCTGAAATTTAGAAACAATAGTTGGACAGTTGGTCTGTTTGAATAGTTATGTGGAAAAAACTTTGCAAACTTACTCTCGGGCTCTTCCACTTTGTGCAGTTAGTGTCACTTTAGAGTGAAGTTATAAGTTTTGCTAAAAATTTTGCTCTGTTTTTTTGGTATTCTAAAAATGATCTCCGTCTTTTATGGTGAAGAAAATCCCCTCTCCCTGCCTTTCTTTCCTTCTTCCTTTTATCATTTAGAATTCTATTTTTGTACAAAATTGAAAACTTTTGCTGTTATACTTTTCAGGATGTTACTTTGATGATGATCTGCTGAGGTTGTAATATCTCTGCGCCTAGGACGACCAAGAAGGTGGGTTGAAATCTTTTTTATTTTTTTGAGCGAACCAGTGGGAATCAGAATTATTCACTTTGTTAGCCATTTTGAAACTTTTATCAAGTTGATTCAATTTCTTGATCTGATTGGGGGCATTTATTTGTTGTCTGTAGGTTCTCTTTTTTCAAATTCCAACTGGTTTGCGTTGAAGATGATAGAGTTTCCAGTGAATGCTCGACTGGTGCTATGGCATCTGCATCACCTAATGCTAAAGTAGCTGCTGTCGACGGTGAAGGTGAGGATGATGACTTAGATGATACTGCAACTTCTTCTCAGGTTTGCGAAGGGAAAATAGTGGATCAGTCTAGTGATCTGTCTAAAGACTCCAAAGAAGCTGGAACCAGTGCAAGTGAACCACCTACATGGGTTGAATGGAGAGAGACCCCAGGTTCTGATGAAACATCTGATATCGTCCGAAATTGTGAAGTGCAAATGAAACTGGTCGATAAGAACCCAGATGATACTACTGATCCCTCTTCATCATCCTCTGTTAATACAAGTGAAACTGCTTTGGAGACATCACATTATCAACGAAAACCTTTGCTTAACCCTTGAGCCATCTGCAAGTCCTCTTGTTACCAAGGAAGAGACAAGTTTGGGAACCGAGTCTGCCCCTGCGATTACCAAAAATGTCGAAGATCCGGCCAAGGAAACAAAGAACTAATGTAAAATTCTCAAGAATTGGTTCAATTGGGCTATTACTCATTACGTGGCAACATTGATCTGATGGGGGTGGGCACTGCTTGGTTGATCAATCTGTCACTTATGCAGCCGTGTGTACATGGTTGTTGATCGGAGTTAATGATTCTCTTCACCACCAATGATTCTTTTCACCCTCTAACATTCTTTTTCCGTTGGGCTCTCTTCATCCTTTATTCTTTGGCATTGGTTTTCTTTTTCCTTTGTAGTTGTTGCGAATTGAAATAAATGGAGAGTTCCTTCAATGGCCGTATCATATGAGGAGATAGAGCAGCAAGGTTGGAACTTTTTTGGATAATCTGTAAATCGTTTGTTGTGGCCTTATGTTGGAAAATGTTCATTGAACTTGTGTCTTGCGTGCATGCATTGGTTGTTTTATTTCTTCAAATTAATTGCTCACTTCTATTAACATATAAACTTATAAGACAGAGGCTCGTCTCTGGCATAAAACCTCTCTACAAAGTAAATTTACAGTGCAAACTGTCTGAAAATTTTCACATCTGATCATCGATTCTGAAATATCTGTTCCCATCTCTCTCTATATGTATATATTGCTTAAATAAACTACATTTACCAGTTACCCCCTAAATTTTTTTTTCAGGAAGTTGTCTCCTTTCTTAATCGTTACCTGTTTGCACTCCGTTAAAAAATTTCACTGACCAATAAAAATGCCATGTCATCATTTTTTTTAAATTTTCTTATTTGAATAAATAAAAATCAATTTAAAAAAATTACATAATATACCAAGCTACCTGGATCAACAAATTGGGAAATTTTCCGGTGATTGCTCAAGGAAAATGGTGATTGAAAAGCTTTGAACATTGAAGAAGATGGGGTGCGACATCGCGCGACAATCTAATCAATTTTGGTTCTGTTTTCCCTTCCAACAGCACTCAGTCATTGGTTGAAAAAGATCAAGTGACAACCGCATCATACAGTCCATATGCAAATGTTGACCACCAATTTTGCATCTTTAAGTCAAAACATTCCATTTTCCTTAACTTGTATGCTCAAACTTTTAAGTAGATCCATCGAGTTAATTGCAATATATGTCTCTAGATAATGGCAGTTACTCACACTTTTAAACATTTTAATTTCATCCCAAATTAAGACTCATTCTAAATTAGTCCCAAAATTTTTGAACATTTCAAAATCATCCCCAAACTATGACCCCATTCTATATTGATATCCAAACTTTAGAATGTTTTAATTTCATCCCCAAACTTTGAATGATTTAATGGTGTTATTGAAATGTTCAAAAGTTTGGAGACCAATTTAGAATGAGTCATAATTTAGGGATGAAATTAAAATGTCCAAAAATTAAGGTCCAAATTAGAATGAAGATTATAGTTTGAGGATGTATGGTGAAATTAACTCCATATCCAATAAACCATTTAATTTATTATCCAAGTTTTAAAAAAATTTGCAACGTAACTATTAAAGCACTTCAACAACACTCTTCCTATGCTCCTCGGCCTAAAATGGAAATCTATACGCTACTGAGTTGTTAAGTACAAAGCTAGACAGAATGAAGCATTACCGAGACTACGTCGCTCGTGTCAGCCTATTTTCTCTGCCTATTGCTTCCAAATTTTCAACATTTCCCCAGAAGCTGCATCGTTTTGTCGGAGTTCAGATTGATATTGGACTGTGATTTATCACCTGATGCAGCATCATTCAGTTTGTTTTCATTTTCCTTTGAATTGAGAAATCGACCACCTCTGGCCCGTCTTAATGCATGCAGATGACGGGATTCATGCAAGTATGGCTGCAAAATCAGTGCAACATTGCAGTGGCGATATAAAGTGTCAATCACATTTAAACGTAAGCATTTGAATTGAACCCCCCACCCAAAAAAAAAAAGAAAAAGAAAATCATAGAACTGAAATTTTACTTACTTTCCTAGATTGGCAAGTTATTCTCTGATTCAGCTTCGCGCGAGATTGTCGACGTCGCAAGATGCCATGATATTGTTTGCATTACAAAGACAGGCTCCTCAACTGCATCTGATGGCAAAGGCACTCCGTCTTGCTGAATACCCATCAACTGAAGATGTACCTAAAACAGAAGCACAAGATAATCGAGCTTTAGCCTGAAAACAATTAGAACCAGCACGATAGAGAGAGAGAGAGAGGGAGGGAGTAATATACCATAGGCTGACCACCATAGGTCTGTGGAGGATATGATGCGCATCATAGGGAGCAAGATTCTATAATAGGGGTCTGGATAGGGGTAAGCAGCCGGTGCCTTCAGTTTCATAAGTCAAGGAACAAATAAAATATCAGATATCCTTACATATTTGATACCTCTCTAGGTTAAACCTTAGCATCTGTTCAGTATACAACTTTCAGCAAAAAGAAATGTTTTTGACAATGTAAAATCTTCTTAAACAATGATTCATAAAAGCACCAAACTAAAAATAAGATTTGACCAGGTGGTCCCCAACTAATCTCCCTGCAAGTCTGATTCCCTGCAAGTGAGTGATGCATTATTAAAAAAAGGGTTAATTTAGCTTTATTCAGCTCTGCTAGCAACTTAATAAAATATAACTGAATACTCCCCCCTGCATCAGACATTTCATCTATAAAATGATAAATGAAACAGTCGATACCACTCAGATGACTCAACATGACTAACAGAAAGCGACCCTTTTATTACAAACAAAACTCATGAATTATGCACGAACCAAGGAACCTTAGAGGTAAAGGAATTGTCGTTATTTCTCGAGGTCCCGGGTTCGAGCCAGGAATGTCATTGGGTGAGCGTTAATGTCAAATGGTGAGAGTTATCTTTGAACAGATTAGTACAAGTCTTTTTAAGAAATTAAATTATAAATAAAAATGAAGAGTGAGGAATTACATTTTCTGAAAAATATGTTGTAGGCTACATTTCAAATTTCTGTAAAAAAAACAGCTCCCAAATCAAATATCTAGGTAAAGGCAGTGTGGTAAGGGGAAAGGCATAAGGGATGAGAGGGTTTTGAGTGGTTTATATCTGAAGGATGGCAAAAATAAAACACTGCTAAAAATTTTCAGAAAAGATGATAGAATGGTTTGGCATCGAAAATGTATCCAAGGCCAAGAAACTTTGATTTTCTTATTAGTTTGAGATGATTACAAGATAGATATGTTCGAAAGACTCTCAACCATTTGACAATGAATGCTCAAACACCCTACAGATGTCGTGCTCGAACCCGGACCTCTCGGAATAACAACTACCCCTTTACAACCGAAGTCGCCTAGTTCGTGCTAGAAAAAAATTGATGATGGTTAATTGATCACAAACTTTAGGACAATCAGCAAAGCTCAAGCAAGACACAGCCTCAATACAATGAACAAAGCAAAGTTGATTCAAAGAGAAAGTAAGCATGAAAAAAATGTTAACGCTGAAAAAAAAAAAAACTCTAAGATGGTACATAGCATGTTGAGGTGTTGTGTAAGGGAGTTTGGGGTTGTGATGGAAGGAGAAAGTCCGGTTGCAGGAGACGAGGAGTGATCCCTAAACTCCGAGTTTTTTTATGTTCATCAGCTTCAGTTTGTCTGGTAAAATAAATTAGTAAAGGTCAACACCATAATCAGAGAGAACTGTAAATGATGAACAGACACCAATCAATAATGCAAGCACTCAGGCAACTAAGATAGAAAGCAGTGCAGGTGGAATAGTGAGAACTGAGAAGTAAATAAATCAATGTTGCTTACATTACCCATCAAATGGCCTGTATTGCATTATGATACAGAAACACAAGGAGCCTTCATCCTGGTTAACAATGAGGAAATGCCTATAGATGCAATTAATTTAAATATCAAATGAACAGCCACCAAAGAGAAAGGTCATAAAATGAAAACATAGAAACAATATAGCAAGCATCCAGGCATAAATAGTGACAATCAAGTTAAATCATGGAGCGCTATAAATCCCAAGTAAACTACCCAGTATGCTTCCTTACTGCACAGAGAAAACCCTCACAAGATGTAAAATGACATATAAAATAGCAATGAGGTAATAACTAATACACATGAATTCAAACAGGGTGGAACTGAAAGATCCTTCCAATCTCATAATTTAAATACAGAACCTCAGTTAAACACCTTAGGGGGAAGCAAAATCAAGAATGAAATGCCATAAATGAATTCAATATTTTTTCCTACTCACAGAGTTCGTAACATAACTACACTGGTACTATAAACATGAAGTTGAAATAGCACTTGACATGAAGAAATACCAGAATGATCATGCGAAGAGGAAGTCATGAGGTTGTGAAGATAGGAGAATCTGCAAACTCAAATCAGGCAGCATAACCAGCCGAGTCGATGTTAGTGCAGCATAAAGAAACACAGCACTTTAATCAAAACCAACAGAGACAGAATTTATGTCAGTTACTCAGTTTTACATCTAAAGCAAGCCTATATATTATAGTCATAAATGATAAAAAAATTAAAGGAAAAAATCACTAGATCGCTACACAGATTCCAACATATCCATTCTCCATTATAGTAAACCATTTTTTCTTTAAAAAATAATATTCTGAGTTCAAATTCTTCAAATATATCTACTCGCTTCTACATCCGAACACTTTAGGGAGTGAAAAAAAATAGCAAAAGTAACAACCAAAAAGTACCTTAGTGATTTACGAATTCTTGCAAATCATCAGAGAACGGAGCCAGAGTCGAGAGATTATGCCTACAAGTCAAAATAAAGTCAATTTAGTAGAACAAGTGATTATTCAAACGCGAAAACTGAGTTATAGTTTCGTTATAATTATGAATTCAACAACTATAAAACGGGATCAATGTGTCTACAACATTAACAAAGTCATATCCATTCAAAATGAGCGAAAATTAGACGAGTTTGTAAATGAGCCCAATTACACATCATCTTCTCCTTAAACATTCTCAACATCCAAACGGAGGAAGAAAAACATTTCCGAATAATTCGAATTTTAAAAGATTAAAGAAACAATAATGTATAAATCGTGTTTATTTGAAAAGGAAACATTAAAAAACGAATTTGGAAAGAGAGACAAGCACAGCTAGGATTTATCGAGAATCGAAATTTACCTCAAACAGAATCGTCGGAAACAGAATGGTTAAGGAATTGTTAGCTTTACTTGGTAAATTTTGGCATATAGAAAGAAAGTTACGGTACATTGGGGTGCACATGGAGCCTAGCTTCAAAATTCCCTTTTGCCATTGTTTTGTTTTAAATGTTTTATAATTATAAGACTTGTTTTTATTGCTATTGCTTGAAAATTGTTTTTAATAAGTATTTTGGTATTTTTTTTAAAAATATCAAAATAAATTAGTATAAAATTTAATTATTTGATTTTATTATCAAAAACTATTATAAAAAGATAAAAAATTATAAATATATTATACGATACAATTGATTGTAAAACATAAAAAGAAACTATTTTTTTACTAATTTTACTTAGAATAATTTTAAAAAATTAAAAATAATTATATATCTGAATTAAAGTTGATTTAAAAAAATCTGATAAAAAGTTCACTATGTTTTCTTTGTTTATTATCAAAAGTATATTTGACTTAAAAAAAATTAGCCGTATTAAAAAAAAGGCCTAACTCCTTCATGGAAAAATAATTTGTATGTTTTCAAATCCAAAAATGTATACATGCCTATCATAGTATTTAAAAAATGATGATAATTTAAAGTGATTAGTTATTTTTAATTTAATTTTTTTTTTGAATAATTTTAATTAAAATGTTTGAAAATTCTTAATTAAAGAGTTATCATTTATTAGTATAAAATTTAATTAACTATTACACTTTTGTTAGTTTTTAATATAATATTTTAAAATTTAATCACAAATTTTATGTTTTAATTTACGTAGATTATGTATATCAATTTTTATTAAAATGAAATTATAAATTATTTATGTTAGGAATTAATGTTTGATACATTGATTATGTAAAAATTATTTCACATAATTTGCTTATTTTATCTCAAATGTTAATATCTAAATCTTATATCATACATTCTAAAATTTATATTCGTGGACGTGCACGTACGGATAGAAAAGTACTTCCGGGTTGAGTTAACTTTCAACAGAAAAGACTTCGGGCAGTAAGGGTGCTGACCGTTCGGCAACTGGAATGAATCTGACCACGAATAATTGGGCCCCACAGAGGGAGAGGATGCAATTTATGGTGACAGCTGACCATCGATCACTAAAATTGTTTTTAAACACTAAAAATCGTTTAATAATTAATTTTAATATTAATATCAACAATTATATATGTTAAATTTAATAATTAAATTTAATAGTTTTAAACCACTCAAATGACAGCTAAAGACGTGATTTAAAAAATTATTTAATGAGTGATTAAAAAATATATTACCTCACGTTATGTAAATTTGAATCTTAATATTCATTCTAAAAAAAAATTTTTATGCTCAATAAGGAAAAACATAATTTAAAAGGATACCCATTGTCTTTTATATTTAAGATTATAAATCTATTCCGTTGATTCTATTTCAACTCAAAAGAAATAATCATATACGATAAATTTAAATAATTTTTATAATAATAATTTTATTAAACATGAGATAATCAAAGCATTCTTTCAGAAATTAAGAAATGTAAGAATGTATTTAATTATAATAACTTTCAAGTTTCTATAATTGTTTTTATTTAATATGATTTCCACTAAATTATATAATTACTTCTTATCAGATTTAGCAGTTATCTTTTTATATCGTTAATCAAAATAAAATATCGTCGTGTTAGTGAGAGTGTTTTTAAATTATATAATCGTATTGTTTCTTATAACCAAAGCATTTTTTCATAACTTTCAAGTTCTTTTAATTGTTTCATGGTGTGTGATTATAATTTTTTTTCTTTTTGTTCTTTGTTCTTGTCATGCGCAGAGGGGGAAAGCTTTGTGGCAACCTATATGGATAGAAGAGAATAAATTAGGGTAATTATTTTCTGAATTTTTTTTTTAGATATTTAATATTTTAATTTTTTATTAATAATCAGCTTTATCTGATAAATTTTTATAAATTCATCATTTTTAAATTTTATAAACTTATTAATATAATTAAAAGTACATTTTATATATTTTAATAATTATAAAATAATAAAATAATACCTCGAGCCTATTATATATTTTATTCTTTTTCATGGGTTTAAAACCCATCTCCATCAGTAACATTTTTTTTTATTTTGGATTGTATTCGATTAATAGGGTTATAACAAATTTATATGCCACTATCTTAATCAAATAAAATTAAAATTGATATATGAATTCTTGATGAAAGGGTGAAAAAGATATAAAAAATAAAAATAAATCAAACATCATTAATTAAAATGAAAGTATCGTAATTTTAGGCGTTTTTCCCGAAAATCCCGGTGACGGGTATATTTACCGATTTAACACTGATCAGATTATATTTCCCGATCTAACACCCGTAGCAGTAAAGCGCGCTATGCCCGTGCTATATGCTGATTTGGCGCCACGTGGGGTATAGCTCGCCCCTGTACCAAATTAAAATTGATATATGAATTCTTGATGAAAAGGGTGAAAAAGATATAAAAAATAAAAATAAATCAACATCATTAATTAAAATGAAAGTATCGTAATTTTAGGGCGTTTTTCCGAAAAATCATCGGTGACGGGTATATTTACCGATTTAACATTGATCAGATTATATTTCCCGATCTAACACAGTAGCAGTAAAGCGCGCTCCATGCCCCGCTATATGCTGATTTGGCGCCACGTGGGGTATAGCTCGCCCCATGTACCGCGCTATGCGCTGACATGGCTTACACGTGGGTTATAGCGCGGTCCTCCGCGCTATACGCCACGTAGGGGTTAGCGCTGCCCCTGATCACGCTATACCTAGGTATGAATTATATTAGCCCGCTATACTTTTATCTGAATAATTACATATAGCGCGGTGCAAGTACCACGTCTTATATGGTTATAATACCTTTCGCTCCGGTTAATTTCTCATATCTCTCTCTCTAACTTATAAATTAATACAACAATTCCGTCAACGAGTAATAATTCTGGTAATTTTCTCATTTTGATTTAGAAGTTCGTGTGATTTTTCGTTATAAATTTTGTTATAAATTTTTTTTATTATACTTATTGTTATTATGATATTTGAAAAAGTATTATACTAATTATTTTCAATTAATTTTTTTGTTTGTAAAATGAAAAGCATGAGCATACATCAAAATAGTTTTGCGTACAAGTAATAATATAAAATATATTATTTAAATTATTTACGTTGATGTGTAAAAAATTTATTGTGTTATATTTCGTTCATATATAATTATTAATATGTTTGTTTCAGTTATTTTTTTTGCAGATATAATATGTCACACTTTTAAACTTAAAGAATGACACGAATTTCAGCTATTGTTAATGATGGTTGAAGCTCAAAATAATTATCAGACGCCGCTATTGAGATGTATGCACATGTTGTTTAAGTGTGCTGTTCGGGGTCAATCTTTAAGCTCCCACTATGGGCTGGTTGAACAAGTTGATCAAGTTGACAGCCCGACTACAGTAATGTGTAATGATTTTAATGCCATAATGGGGAGACATTCATCCGCAACTCCTTACGATATGTACCGAGGTGGGTCCACGAACAATTCGTATGGAAACACCACATCCAGTTCAAGGGGAAGGCATTCATCTGCAAATTTCTTTGACCATATGGAGATGCCATCGAGCAATCATCTTTGCAGTTTCCATTTGACACGATGACTCAAGCTCCAGGGGGAGGCATTCGATTGCGAGCTTTTTCGATCTCAATGTCAATATGTCTTCCAGTTCAAGGGGAAGACGTGCAAGTAGTAGGCTATTCGACCTAAATGTGGAGAGCATGGAGGAACCATCATCTCCACCAAACGAACCGCTTCGTGAGCCTGGTGCAGATGGTGTTGAGACTGGACTATTCATTCACCCAGAATCACCGCAATTCAACATGACGACCAACTTGACAGAGGCAATCAATTCAACTTTAAAGGGTGCACGTCACTTACCAGTAGCGGCTTTGGTAAAGACTATATATTTTCGTTTGGGGGCACTTTTTGCGAAGCTCGGGGGACAAGCTCAAACCTGGATACAAGGCAGTCATGTCTATCACCCTAGATTAGTTGCAGATTTACAGAAAAAAATTGTTGCATCAAATAGAATATCTGTAACAAACTTCTCTAGAAGGCATTAAATATTTCGTGTCACAGAGTTGCCGCAACCTCTTCAAGGGATTGAAGTTTTGTCGTTAAGAGTAAATCTAAGGGACAGAACGTACGACTGCGGGGTTTTTCAAGCTCTGAAGTATCCATGCTCTCATGTGATAGCAGCTTGCTCGCATACACGTCAAGACTATAACCATTTTGTAGATCCCGTATACCTACTATATGAAGTTTTTAAGGTATACGAATTTGAGTTTCCCCCCATAGGTAATGACAAAGACCTTGATGAGGTTCAAGATTGGCTTACGATTGTACCAAATCCGAGTTTATTGAGGGAGCATGGTCGTCCAAAATCCAATCGAATTCATTGCGATATAGATATTCGAGAAAGATCTAGACAAGACATAAGATGTGGGCATTGTAGAAACCCAGGACACACTAGAAAAACATGTCCACTTCTGTTGCCATCAAGTAACAATTAATGAGGAAATGATGTATTTGTTTATCAAATAATAATTCTTGTACTTTGATTTGCATTTACTTCAAGTTAATGTCATTCGATAATCGCTGATGAAGATTAAAAAAATGAACACAATCATTAAATTTTATCAAACTAATAACAATTTGGTATTTGAATATAATTTTAAATACAACAAACTTACAATAAGAATTAAATGGTAAATGATAACCAAATTACAATAACTGATATTAAATGGTAATAAATAAAATTAACTGAAATACATTAAAAAAAGTCCAACAAATTTAACAAAATAAAGTAAATACAAATATAATAAAAAATCTATCGAATGCCTGCGACGCGA